TATTATTCTCGGTCTAGGTAGGTATACAATGATGTGCATTATCTAATTTGTAAAGGTACGCACAAACAATTACGCAGGCACCATTATAGTATGTAGGGGAAGGCGGGGCAGTACCGTACGGTTAAGCTTCCATGGCTTATGAATCATGTAATTTTTAACGAAATTAAATTTTTTAAACTGGTATATATAGAAAAACTTATGGTCTATAACTTTTATTCGAAACTTTTTTGTATTTTTTTTTTTTAAATGTGTCTAATTTGCGTTTTACTTTTTTTGGGAAAAATACGGATTTACCCCAGGTGCGGGGTAAATCCGTATGTACCCTGGGGCAAAATCGTATGAGGATAATTTTTATACCAAAACACAGTTCATTATATTTATTGGTAAATTATTAATTGGTATTGGTCTTTTATTTAATTCATTTATAAAGTTTAACTAAAATTAGGCAGTAGGTAGTAAGCTATGTATGATTTCATTTTCATTAATTAAAAATGTACCTAAACATTGTTTTCAATTCTTCAAAATGTCAACAAATTAATAACACAATACAATATGCGATAAAACCTGCTCCCATTGGCAGTAGTACAACAAATACAACTTACCTAAGTACCTATAAAGTTATTAAAATAAAACAAAATCTTCTTTTAATATAAGAAATAAAAATGACCACACAAAATTACTTTTTAATAAAAATAATAACAAAATTTAATATGATAAATTTTTTTGGCAATTCTAGCTAGAACATAAACAGTATATTATAATCATAAAAATAAAACAAAACCTTATTTTTTTATAAGAAATATAAATTATTATACCAAAATAACTTTTTGATAAATTTTCCAAAAAAAATAATAATGAAACTTAACATTATGCCTGCCTAGCACATAAATATAGTAGGTAAACATAAAATAATATGTAAATATTAAAAAAACAAAAACTTTTTATAACTTTTTCAAAAAAAATAATAACAAAACTTAACATTATGCCTGCCTAGCATATAAATATAGTAAACAATATGTAATATTAAAATAAAACAAAACCTTTTTTTCTTATAAGAAATAAAAATTACCTTAATCAATAATGTTTTACTTATTTTTTTTTTATACAAAGATCACAAATGTAGGTCTTCCAGTTATCAACTCCTCCACAAAGCTCATGACACCATCTACAGCAATTTATACATTTAACCCATTTCTCTCCCTTTGAGTCTTCTTTGTATGGCATACTACAATATATACACTCTTCGTCGGCACTGTCATCATCATCAGTTGAAACACATAGCTTTTTGAGGTGAATTTCTTCTTCATCTGTAGAAGTGAATAATCTTTTTTTAATATTATTTTTCTTTTGTTTTTTCTTTGGCAGTGGTTTGCTGTTTTCTTTAGCTTCTTGGAGTTCTTTTTTGTATGGACTTTCAGTGATAATTGCTGTCTTTCCTCTTCTTCTTGATGATCTGTTAATATTTTGAGCTTTTGGTATTGGCAAAATAATTTCTGGAGATATAGTAAAAATCTGTTTTTCATTTGAAGAAAAAGTTGCATGTGGTGTTTCTAATACCAAACTTTGAGACAATAAAGATGAAACAGCTGCATTTTGAACATTATCTGCAGGTTGTTCAGTATTCAATGTATTAGCAGAGGAACTAGGTTGGGGAGTAGAATATAATGCAAGAGCACTATTATTATCAGCTGAACAACAAGGTTGTGTTTGGGTATCTAATGACATTTCAATATTATTGGTAGTTTCAGCTGGAGCAAAGTCATAATTGTCAAATATGTCTGAATTAAATGGAGCTATACCAGTTTTTCTAAAACCAGAAATTGCATTTTTAGGAGTTGCTGCTTTTAGATATGCCTCACGAAAAATTTTAGAAATGTGGCGAAGACCAACAACTTGGCCTGGGTGGTTAAGTAACCACAAATCTAACTCTTGGCTATAGTATGTACTGAGTGGACCCATAAAGTTCACATCTAACGGTTGTAATTTGTGAGTTGTATGGGGAGGAAAACAAATGATAACTATATTATTTTTGCGGGCTACATCTATAACTTCAAGGTTTTTAACATGAGTAACATGACCGTCTAAAAGCAATAAAATAGGGTTTTCTTTTGTGGGATGTGTATGCTTAATAAAATGATGAAGCCACTGCACAAATATTTCGGATTGCATCCACCCTGATGGATGACAAACAACCAATGATCCAGGTGGTGCTTCTTCTTCAAAATCTGGATTTAATCTGACTCTAGGGAATATTAATAATGGGGGAATATATGAACCCGATGCTGAAAAACAAATTGTCACTGTAACATTTTGACCTCTTTCAGCTGATGACAGTTTGCCAACTTGTCTTCGTCCCTTTTGGGAAATTATTTTGGCTCTACTTTTGGCTACATTTGACAATCCACTTTCATCAACATTAAAAATTTGTTCTGGCTTAAAGTGATGAGTCTCATAACATTTTTTTAACAAATCATAAAAACTATTCACCACCGGTCGATTGAAGCCCATAGCTCTCACAGCTGAAGTTGGTTCTGGGATCCGTACTGACAACTCTGGGTGCCTTAATAAAAAGCCTTTTAACCAATCTTGACCTACATAAAAAAAATTAAAAGATAATATAACAATAAACTTTAAAATATATAAATAAAAATAATCATTGCTTAATTCACCTGCTAAACCATTTGTTTTATTAAAATTATGAGCAATATTGTTTCTTTCGGCAAGTTCAAAGGCCAGTTTTCTAAAATGATTTTGTGTTAAGCCAAACAAACGACTTTCCATGTCTTTTAAATATTGTACAAGAACATTTTCTTGTTCGATTGAAAATACTTTTTGATAATGTCCCAAAGCTATAACAATAAAAAATTATACTTTTAATTGAAAACAATTATTTCAGCACATAATTGACAAGTTTACAATAAGCACCCCCTTATAACTAAATAATATGTTATCTAATATCAGTAGAAAAAAATTGGTTTTCTTAATAAGAAATTTTCTGTAATAATACCTATATCAAACTAATTACCATAATATTGTGTAATCATTAAATATACCTTTTAATCCACACTGTTGTACATTTAATTTTCCTTTTTTAACTTTATTGACTCGATCCTGTAACGTTGAACGAGGAACTTCATACCGAATAGACGCAGCATCATAAGTCAAACTTCTTTCCACCACAGCTAATACAGCCATTTTCATATCATCTTCCAACCATGATTGTCTGTTTGATTTGCGAATATAATTACGAACCATACTAAGAAAAATAAAACAATTCAATAGGTACTAATAAATTGTTTAAATTCAACCATAGCAATTGTCAAAATATCAACGTAGTAAAACCGTACAGTGTATAACCATACGATTTTGCCCCATACGATTTTGCCCCACAAGACTATTAAAAGTTTTCGAGCTTTATATCAAACATTAAATTAATAAATGAATGCATTTATACAACAAACGTAAATTACACTTCATTAGCTATTGAATAATAAATATGACATACCTGAACAATTTTTTCGCATATAAAAATTCACTCTTTGAAATGTTGATAATATTTTAGTAATTGAAAGTAAAAACATAAAACGTATTTATTTTAAAAACGTGATATCAAAACACGTGCACTATCATATTCAATAGATAAGCAAACAAAACGTTTCAAATCGGTGTATTCAGTTTTCCTCCATGATAACAATTATTGATAACATTTCGATAATACGATTTTGCCCCGCATACGGTAATACCCCGTCTTCCCCTACGCACATAATATTATGCACGCATGCTCACGACCTATTTTGTTCTACTTTTATAAATACAACGATTAACGTATATATGTTTGCAAGTTTATGCATATATTTGTGAATCGTTATTTTGATGTAATCGTATTATCAACTTTTGTATTTTAGTCATCATATTAA